AACATTAATGTGAGAAATAAATATTGATCAGCTGCTTCCCACACACACACCCCCAATCGGGGCTCATACCCCAACCAGGGAATGTGCCCTGACTAGGAATTGAACCCTCCACCTTTTGGTGTACAGGATGACGCTCCAACTAACTGAGCCACCAGCCAGGGTTAGGCATTCATCTTTAATAAATGACGAGATTGGAAAGAACATTTTTAATAGGACTTGTACCGCTTCCTTCCGATTTCTGCCTTTTGCAGGGAAACCGTGATGAGAACCAGAATGTGAACCACCAGATGGCTCAGGAAGACGCTCAGCGCCTCTATCAAGCTGGCGAGGGGAAGCTGGGGACAGACGAGTCTTGCTTTAACATGATTCTTGCCACAAGAAGCTTTCCGCAGCTGAGAGCTACCATGGAGGCTTATTCCAGGGTACGAGCCTTTATTTTGCAGACCTGGCTTCAGTTTTAAGGTGTGGAAATACTTTAACCCGATACGTCTTGCCTGCAGGTGGCTAATCGAGATTTGTTAAGCAGTGTTGCCCGCGAGTTTTCCGGAAGCGTGGAAAGTGGTTTGAAGGCCATCTGTAAGATACTTTTGTGTTTTGCTTTATTTTGCTTCTAAATGAGTGAGCTTTTGAGTGTTTTTTGTTCCTATTAAGTAATGATAATATAGCCTCCCGGGAATCTGCTTAAGCAAATGCTGAGCCAGTCTGTTAACGGTTGATGGCAGGATCAATTGGGGTTGTTTCAGAATTATTTGATGTTGGTTCTGTATGCCTTTCTTGAGAACTGTGCAAGAATATCTGGTAGCCCTGGCCAAATACTCAGTTGGTTAGAGTGTCGTCCTGATAAGTCAAGGTTGTGAGTTCAGTCCCTAGTCAGGGCACATATAAGAATCAGCCAATGAAGGCATCAATACCCAGGTTCGATTCAGGTCAAGGGCATGTACCTTGGTTGCGGGCACATCTCCAGTAGGGAGTGTGCAGGAGGCAGCTGATCGATGTTTCTCTCTCATCGATGTTTCTTCCTCCTCCTCCCCCTCACCTTTCCCTTCCTTTCTCTAAAAATCAGTCAATAAAAACTTTTAAAAATATATGTTTATATATATATGATTGTAACATTTCCATTAAAGTGACTGGGAAAGCACTATGGAACGGTGAGTGCCACTACACAAAGCATCATTTATGAGCCTGCCCCCGCCCCCAAAACAAACAAACAAACAAACAACCACTTCTCAAGTACTCAGCCCAAGGGACTCTTTTCCCTTTTGGAATTAAATACCAAATCTCTGGTGTCCTGATATTCAGCCTCATGAACTGGAACTATTATTCTCATGGAGAATATAGGACCAAAGAGAGTATTAGTAACACATTGGTATTAGCAATTGAGTGTCTTACAAATAATACTGTAGTATTATAGCTAAATTATTAACAAACATTCTCTACCATCTGCAGGAAGAGACTTTGCTAAGTTAATTTTACTAAGAAATGTAAGATTTCTTACCTGTTAGATTTTTTACCACAGAGCCACACTGGCCAGGGCAGATTTCTTATTATTCTGAAATCGTTGCTCAGATCTGTGTTTTCTCTTTTATATTATTTGTATCTCATATCCTTCTCTGGGGAAATGTTCTCTTTGACTCCTAGAATTCAGACTTCATCATTGCTTTTAAGTGAGATACTGCTAAGGCAGAGTTGCTATGTATCTTCTCATTGTGAGGGGCAAAAGTACAAAGAATCTAAGCGCTTGCATCTGTGGAGAGGAAATGGGTTTTGGGCGGGGGGGGGGCAGGGGGAGTCTTTTAGAATTGAAAGTAGCTTGTCCCGTGCATCTAGAAAGAAAGGTGATACAAATGCAGGGGGAGAATATTTTCAGCTGCGGGTTTCTGAGAGGATGGCATGGGGGGACGGACCCCGGGCAGGCGAGAGGTGAGCGGGGAGCCGGAGCGCGGGCGCGTTTCTGAGGCGCCTCTGCCTTGCAGTGCAGTGCGCCCTGAACCGCCAGGCCTTCTTCGCTGAGAGGCTCTACTACTCCATGAAAGGCGCCGGCACGGACGACTCCACGCTGGTCAGGATCGTGGTCACTCGGAGTGAGGTGAGCCTTTCTCCTCTTGTCTGATCGCAGTTCCTTTTGAATGTTGATTTCTTAGAAGTGCCTCAGCTGGCTGTCAGTCCCTCAGGAGGACGTTAAGGAAAAGCTGTCGTTGTCACTGCCTTGTGTAGAGCAGTGGTAGTTGGTCCTTTCCTCATCCACGAGAGAGGCTTGCTCAGTGAAGCGGACACTGTACTGTCCTCGGGCAGCAGGCAGCGCCCAGAGGTGTGCCCACCTGAGAAGGCCTGGAGGGACTAGGTCACTAGTTGAAGGCAAGTTAGAAGATGGTTTTTGGTTTTCATTTTGCTGATGTAAAAAATTGTCTAAAAGACCTATTTCATTTTATTGGTTATGAAAAATTCCTGAAATTTAGCATACCTTCCTAATCATAAAACAAAAAATTTATCTTTGTCTCTTTACCTAAATATAGCTTCAAATGTTTTCTTTGATTTTTAAATATTCATTGGGTATTTTTTATTGAAAGAAAACATACATATACAACTAAATTATACTGAACAAGATAAATTATTTTTAAAAGGACAACCAGAATAGGGTGTTTTATCTTTTTAAAAAAAATTGATTTCAGAGAGAGGAAGAGGGAGAGAGATGGAAACATCAATGATGAGAAAGAATCATCAATTGGCTGCCTCTTGCACACCCCCTACTGGGGATTGAGCCTGCAACCCAGGCATGTGCCCTGACCAGGAATTGAACCCTTATCTCCTGGTTCATGAGTCGAAGCTCAAACTCTAGCCACACCGGCCAGGCCTGAATAGGGTGTTTTATAAAAGCTCTTTATGTATTTGTTCATAGACCTAACTTTTCTATGCAAGCTATTTTTTTTAGTTGCAATAAAATATACATAATGTAAAACTTACCATTTTAACCTTTTTTTTTTAATACAGTTCAGTGGCATTAAGTACATTCACATTGTTGTGCAACCACCACCACCAGAATTTTTTCACCTGAAATTCCCCACTCGTTAAACAATCCTTTACCATTCTTTCTCCACAACCCCTGGCAACCACCATTCTGCTTTCTGTCCCTATAATTGATTACCCCTAGGTACCTTAAATAAGTGGAAATATCCTGTATTTATCCTGTTGTGACTATTTTTTTCACTTAGGATAATGTCTTCAGGGTTCATCCATGTTGTATCTTGTGTCAGAATTTCCTTCCCTTTTAGGACTGAGTGATATTTATTGTCTGTATATCCCACCGTTCGTTTATCCTTTCGTCTGTCAGTGGACACTCAGGTTGCTCCCACCTTTTGGCTGTTGTGAACGATGCTGCTCTGAGCATGCGTACATATATTTTGAGTCCCTGCTTTTCATTTTTATGTATATACCCAGAAGTGGAATTGCTGTATCATATGGCAATTATATTTTGTTACTGTTTTAAGGAACCGCCATACCATTCCCCACAGTGGTTGCCTATTTTACAGCCCTGCTAGCAATCCACAAGGGTTCCAACTTCACATCCTTGCCCACACTTGTTATTTTCTGTGTTTTTTTTATAATAGCGATTTGATTATCAAATGGTTTTTAAATGACTAATACTTTTGGAATAATAGAGGAGACTCGTACCATCCTTATCCGATATTTTTACAGAACAGTGAATCGGACCTTCCTGGGTAGTTGCTAGCCATAAAGTGTCAGTCGCTTGGTGTTATTTCCCCTCTGCTTTGATGATAATTAGGACCTTTTCACTCTCAAAAAACAATTCAAATAAATGCCTTGGCGGCTTTTTTCTAACATTGAAAATATCATCTCTTGCACGCAGATTGACCTTGTACAAATAAAACAGATGTTCTGCCAGATGTATCAGAAGACCCTGGGCACCATGATAGCCAGTGACACGAGCGGAGATTACCGAAAGCTGCTGCTCGCCATCGTGGGCCAGTAGGAGGGATTTTTTTGAATGAATGAAGCTGTTCAAAGCTTATCTTTCAAAGCAGTGCTGACCTGCATGCAGCGATAGCAACCATCATGTAACCAAAAGAACGTTTTATTAAAGACTGTGTCAGGCTTGTGCTTGGTTTGCACATGCGGTTATTGCCTTAATTCCAATGTTATTTTTCTCTCTATACAGTCAATGTAAAGCCATAGTCGTAATGTAGATTTAATGGACTGTTTGTAAAGTATACTTTTCTCACTGCACTTATTCTAATCAGAATACCAAATTGAATAAAAATCACAACGATCTCTAATTCTGTGTAATGATACTGAATTTTTATAAAGGTTGCTAAAAATTCTGCCTGCCAAAGTCCTACTAGGTCCATTGGGCAGTTATAATTGATGGTATTTCAAAACTATTACTTAAAAAAAAATTTTTAGCTCTTTTAACCTAGAATACTTTACATCTTATCTATACTAATAAAAGGATAATATGCAAATGGTTGGGACGCCCTCATGCAGGACGACCGATCAGCTGGAGGCTGTGTGCGCAGCAGGCGCTTGTGGGTGGGGACTTGCAGCGTTGGGGACAGGGAGGCCTTTGTGCGCCTGCACCAGGGGTCTGCAGGCCTGCCCTGGCTCCGGCCTGCCTCTTTGGGGCAATCCATCAAGGAGCCCCAGATGGGTGGGCGGGGCCTACCTCTTTGGGGCGATGGATCACGGGGCT